CTATCCTGTTCTCTTGTTGTAGTGAATACCAGTGGAAGATATAGGCTATCTTTTGTATATTCCTCACTTCTATTTTGAGAACAGGCCATCTACTTTGTTGATATATTCTTTTCATGATATCCTTGACACCACTTCTGCCCAGGTACTGTTTCTTAAATGTTGCAACCCTACTTATATGTACAGTTTGCTTTTCCATTTCCCTTTGAGTGGTTCCTCAAATTAAATTCTTCACAGATATTAGATTCCCATGATCTACAACCATCATACGATGTCACTGGAAGGATTTTCATGCTAAAGGATGGACATTTGTTTCAGAGAGGAGGCTGGAGTCATCAATAGGCTTTGCTGTTTCCCTAAAGCAATCTAGCCTTCTCTCTTTCTCTGATTCAATAATGCACCCAGGTCATTATCTCATTACTCTTGGGGAATTATAAGGAAGGCCTTGAAAGAATCATACTTTTGCAAAAGAAATACATATTTTTTACTAGTTGTGGTCATATTTGCTTTCAACTGTTTTTAAAATCTAGTTGACTGACTTACTACTTGCTATTCTAATAGTTTAGTTAATAGCTTACTTTGGACTAGTTTTAGTAAATGGGATAGTATGTCTGATACTAGTCTTTGATTTAAGCTTTTTGGAGTCATGATCCTAGATACCATCTTCTCTGTCCTTCAGTTTGGTCTTAGAATCTTCATGTACCTTTCAAGTTTAGTGGACTGAATTTTTCCCTCACTTTAAAGAACTTGTCTTACACTTGTCAGGATTAGAAGTCAATAATTTCTATAATCCTAAATTACACTAGTGGGAGATAGGCAGTTCCCGACTTAAAAAAAAAAATCATGTTCATAAGTTCATTTGTAATTTAGTCCTTTAGAACTCATACATTTTTCCTCAGATATATGAGGAAATCATAAATATTTGAATAATATATAAATGTAATAAACCTCATTATAAATTGTGGTTAAAATATTAGAATATCATACAAAAGCCTATTTAATTCATTGAGTGACTGAAATAGAGTATTTTTAAAATAAAAATCATAGGAAACTTTTTAAATAAACTTAATACAATTGGATCAGAAAATTGAATACAAAAGTTTTAAAAATTTACTTTGAATGCTGGTACTTGGGAAAAAAGCAGGTTTAATTAGCAAGATAGGAGACAAATGACTATCCTTGAATATTCTAAGAAGGATCTGAGAATGCTTTCAAAGATTTAATTATGTCTAATTTTACTTGAAAATTTATGGCCAAAGTATGAGTTAGTAAAGGTAAATCAGTAGAACTACCAATACTATCAGAAATCATTAGGTGAAATTTTTGATTCAGAAATTAAAGTAAAAGGAATGAGGATATTTTCCAGAGGTATCAGGCAGGAGTTACAAGAGAAGGAAAAGGACATAAGGGTGTGTGTGTGTGTGTGGGTGTGTGTGTGTGTGTGTGTGTGTGTGTGTGTGTGTGTGTGTGTGTGTGTGTGTGTGTGGTAGTAGTAGGTTAATGGCATGAGGGCTACAAGGGTGGGGAACTTCTGTGCCATATGTGGCCCTCTTGATCCTCAAGTGCAAACCTTTGACTGAATCCAAACTTCACAGAACAAATCCTTTTATTAAAGGGATTAACCCCTGGCAGAACCTCCAATTTCTATCCCTTCTCCTTGGACATAACTGCTCAGTCAGGGCAAAATAGATTGACAGAGTTTGTGATGGGAAAGCAGTTTTGACAGGGCTTCATTTTTTTTTTTTTTTTTTGGCAGTTGGGGTTAAGTGACTTGCCCAGGATCACACAGCTAGTAAGTGTCAAGTGTTTGGTCTGAGGCTGGATTTGAACTCAGGCCCTCCTGACTTCAGGGCCGGTGCTCTATCCACTTCGCCACCTAGCTGCCCTTGTGGGCTTCACTTTCTATCCACCCATTTCTCCTTCCTGAGGGTTTAATGTCCTTGACCTGCCCAAAGCACCTCATAGCAGCATCATATTTGGCCTATTCTCTGCCATTTCTTTAGTGAACCTTATTTCAGCTGAATTTTCTGAAGAAAGTAGCCATATTAAATTGATTCACACTAACTCTTTACCACCATGTAGGGATATGTGTATTTTAATACATGATATGTATGAGCTCAAAGTTATCTCTTAATTAATAGAATTTCAGGCAGTGTGAGATAAATGAAAATTTTCAAGTAGTGTAGAGCTAGAGATTTGAAGGAAGGGGACCTTCCTAAGGTCATCTTGCTTCCCTACTCAGCCTAGGGTAAAGTCTGATCCTGGAACAAGGGAGCATAAAGAGGCTTTGTGACTTCCTTTCTTCCTTCTTACTTGAAAGACCAGCTACTCTTGCTCTAATTCACTCTCCCCATCTACCCCTTGGTGGAAGTTTGAAACCTAGCTTCTTTATGAAGAAGGGAAAACCTGCTGTTGAGAAGACATGGAGTAAGCTGTCTTGCCCCTAATCATTTAGGAGTAAGCATATCTGTCAAGTAGAAGGTCCTGTGCAATGGAAGAAAATGCTAAATTTGAGCTAAAGGTTAGAGAAAATAAAGCTGTAATTTTTTTTCCCCCATTCAGATTCACAGACCCCTTGAAATCTATCCACAGGCCCCTTGGGGAATCTGGGGGTGGCAGTTTAAAAACTCTTGATTTAGTCTACAGACAGTCCTTTAGCTACTTGAAGACAGCTATCTTATTCCTCAAGTTTTTTCTTTCCTGGGCAAAATAAACCAAGTTATTTAACTTGATAATTAACTCTATAATAATTTTTAAAACAAAAAATACATAAGTATAAGAAGGCATGGAGAAGTTCATGTGGAAAAAAAATTAGGGGTTTTAGTTGAACATAAATATAAATCACCAGGGAAAAATGACAGCCAATTCCCATTCCCCTCTGCCGACTCCTAATTGATATTAAATTTGTTCCAACCTTATAGGCCATCAATTTATTTTTGAATATTGACTTATCCAGTGTGTTGAGCATTTTTCCCAGGTTTGTGTCAGGAGTAAATTTGATAAGTATTCCATTTATGCCTTATTATCCATGTCACTGATAAAAATATTAAATAGCTAATCACAGATCCCCAGGACTCTATAATTGTAGGCTTTTCAAGTGAACCTTGAGCCATTAATTCTATTAATAATATTTGTTAATAACTATTCTTTGGATCTATCCATTCAACCATTTTCCTATCTACCTAATTATAATTTCATTTAGCTCATAGTTCTCCATCTTGTTCACAAGGATAAATTCATGAGAGACTATTAGGAACACTTAGTAGATATCTTAGTAAGCTATGTTTTATGACATTCCCTGATGTACTAATCTAATAACTTTGTCGGAAGAGGAAATAAATTGCCATCATTTCTAGTCTAAGGTGCAACAACGACCAGTTGTGTACCTTATTGGGCCAAAATTACCAAAGAATAGCTTCTCTTGATGTTTCCACCACCTTTTAGAGGATGAAATTTTCATGAATAGCTATTAAATGACATTTATATAGCACTTTAAGGTTTGCAAAATACTTCACATACTTTCCCTCATTTGAGTAAGCCAAGACATTAGTTGCTCTGCTGTTGATAGAGAACTCCAGTAGATGTCTTGGTAATTGAAGGTCCTGCTGTTATTTTATGTGTCTGTGTAAGGCTTGTGATCTGTTTTCTAAACTTATCATCTGTTTCCTGCTTCTTTCCAGGTCATTTAGAGTATATAGCTATCAAAATATCCCTTATAGGGGATATTATCCCCCTGTAGGTCTTCACTGAAATATTCTCTACCCAACTTCCTATTGCTGACTCCTGGATTTTTTTGTATGATTAAGGCGTTTTAATAGGCCCCTACTCTGTTTATTCAGTTCTTTTTAAATAAGTTATATCCTTCCAGAACCATCTTCCAGTCATGGGACTATCCCACCAAGTCTCAGTGACAATTTATAAAGTCAAATTTGCTTCCTTGCATTAGAATCTCAAGTTGACCTTCCTTGTGTCTAATACTTCATGCATTTATACCTAGACATCTGAGGTCATGAATTTTTTTTTGTCTCCTATGAATTACTCTTTGCTGTTTTTGCTGTTCTTCCTGCATTGTGGCTACCCTGTGTAATCTAACTTGGTAATGTACTAATATAGTATATAGATATTGCCTTATAGATGCTACAGATCAAAAGTTTTTATAAAGCTACTGCCTGATTCATTCCTCATTCCCTTCCCGGAAGTCCATAGAAATCGCCTCCCAATCATAGGTCCTATAGCCCCTGCACTTCTCTTTTAAGCCCCTACCATGTTTCTTGTTTCATCTAGAGTCTGGGCAGTGAGTGACTGGGTGACTTGGACCCAGGCCTATCTTTATTACTGCCCAGGGTGAAGCCAGAACTCTCCTTCAAGACCTAGCCCCAGCCCTCATGGGTTCTACAAGATTAAGGGATTTTTCTCTAAGAAACTAAAATGGGATTAAAGGAGGTGCACTGTCAGCCTGCTTAGCTGACCCCTTTACAAGATACTAACTAAACTACTTCATAGATTGGTTATGAGGCAAGTATTATATAAAAAAGTGAGCATCTATTATTTTATGTATATCAGTATAATTTGTTGCTCAAGAAATATGGTGATCTGCTCACAGCTTTAAAAACAGGAGAAACAAATACTTTATCCGTCTTACCTACCTGATAAGGGCATTTTATAACACAATTTTAATTTCTAATAGCATTCCATTGGATGAATTTCTTACGTATTGATATTACATATACTAATGTATTATAGTTCCCCCCCCAACACACACACACACACACGCACAGGATGCGAACATTGGTACTGATTTAACTGCATCAAAATTTATCTGGTTAGTCATATTTCCAAAGCTCTGCCTTTCCTTATGGTCCTGACTGGCCATCCTGAAAAACCAAATTGCATTATTACTGTTCATTCATTTTGTAAGCTTTATGAAATGGTCACCTTGTTACCTAAGTAGCTCTTCTTGGTGTAACTTCAGCAAATGTTAATACAAAGTTATTTCATTACAGGAATACAAGCGCAAATTAGCCAGAGTATCCCAGGTTCGAAAAGAACTCAGATCTCGAATCCAGAACCTGCCAGATTTGTCTCGGTTGCCCAATGTTACAGGCAGCCATGTGCACCTGCCATTTGCTGGAGACATCTACAGTGAGGATTGATGACTACAGCTTTTTCCAGGGCCTCAGGACTTTGCAAGAGCTGGAGATAGGTTAAGTGGATAGTCTTGTAGTATTATTTTTGTACATTGTTGAAAAAGTGAAACATAGATATCCCCAACAAAATACAAAAAAAAATTAAATATATTTAAAATGTTGGGTTTTTTCCTATTTTATTGGCAAGTTAACATGACAATTTAAAAATTGACATCCATGTGTTAATATGTCCACAAAGAAGTGATTATTTTAAAAAGATCCTTTTATATATTTTTTGATCCAGGGCCCTGTGAGAAACTAAAACCTTTCTATTTTTCTTTATGTAATTTTGAAAGTTCCTCTTTATGTTTCTGCATTAATATGTGAATGTAACTTCAATATCTAATCACTGTATAATATGTAATTTCTTCAGGAAAAGAACTAATCAGGAGGTTGGGACATTATTCTCATATATTATAGGGATTTGATGGTAAAGAGGACATAAAGTTGACAGATTAAGGCTAAGCTTACCTGGGTCTATCAACCCCAATGTCTCCTTGTCTGTGCTTCTCAGTGCTTTTGACTCAACACACATGAAAATGGAAATCACTTTGTGAGTCAAACTGAGGACATTCACATTCTAAGGGTAATATTTACACCAACAAGAGAGTAATTTTTCTGAACTTACTGGAAACTTGTTTAATATTACAAGAATATGGAAACAAGTTAGAGTATCCCAGAATAGACTTCAGTTATCACCCCAGCTCACTGTGTCCCTGAGCACATCGATGTTCCATTTACATGTAGTCAATGGGAAAGTAGGAGAGTCTAATTTGCTTATTGCCTATTAAAAGCATAACCTTGTTTATCTTAATTTGCCAACTTTCAGTGTTGGAAAAACAGCATGCTTAATTGGGTACATACATTGAGTATGCCACCATTTATTACTTGAATAAACAAACTTGGAAATGCTTTGTAGGAATTCATCAATTCAAAGAGTTGATCCCTCAAGATATTCTTGGTTCTGGAGCTAATTTCATAAGGTTTAAATCTTTATCTCTTACTTATGGAGATAAATCTATGCTTTATCTTAAGTATCCTTGATCTCATTAATGTGAAGAAATCTACAATATCAATTGGACTATAAAAACACATTTTATGACTTTTCGCAACTATAAAATCTTAAAAAGCTTTCATGTCATTTTTGGCTCCAGTATCTAGATAACACTACAAATAGAACATTGTAGATGAGTTGCAGTGTTCTATGTAGTTGCCTGGACACTTTTAATGTCCCATCAAAGTTTTTGAATAAAAAGCAGTGCTACAGGGTAGATCTGGTATATTTTGCATATATCCAGAGTTACCAAAACAAATATGGTTTTTTCTTTTATTTGTAACACTGTGTGTTAGAGCTATTGGATCCCTTGCTTTCTTTTTAAAGTGCATTTTTTAGCAATGGGTTTGTACCAGGTAATAGCCATTTTAGTATAATTGTTCATGACATTGTCAATAAATGATGGAAATTTTTCATTTTGTGCATTGCTTTGCAGATTAGACATTTTCATTTCCGTTGTAAGTATATGTGACCTAGAATAGACAATAAATTATCATCTCTTTTTACATCTTAGAAACCAAAAAGGTCTCCATAGTCTCAGTGTTTTCAGTGTAAATATTTCTTTTTCAGTATTAGTTAATCATATTCATAGATAGTGTGCATGTATAATAGAAGGTAAATATTTATTTTCTAAGATACAACTATGAAAAAATATCATTAAAGTGAGGAAACTTCATAAAGCGCATTTTTATAAAACCTATGAAGGAATTTAGAATAATTTCATCTTTCATGCAGTAAATGTGTGACTAGAAATTGTACTGGTGTAATCTGAGCTCTCCCCAGCACATAAATAAATAAATATAGGAAGCTCCTCAATTACAAATGCCCCATGTTTAGATCTTCCTGTCCAATCCTGGCATATATAAATGCCAACTATGTGTAAGGCACTGGAGCTATAAAGACAAAAGAGAGAACAGTCCCTACCTTCCAGGAACTTATATTCTGTTGGGGGAGGGGAGGAGATACAGCACAAAAGCAAACATTTAAAAAGGGAACATCAGGACGTGCTTCCCATAGGACGGCCGTGGATTGGGCCTTGATGAAAGTAAGGGAGGCAAACACGCCATTGAGGAATGAATACATTCCAAATTTTGAGGACTACCTTTGCAAAATCATGGAAATGGGAAATAGAATGTCAGAGTTAGGATATAGCGAATAGGTCAGCTTGACTGGAACGCAGAGTGTTTGAAGGGAACTGTGAAACAAACCTAGAAAGGTAGGCTGGAAGTTACCATGTGTGTGCCTTTAAATACCAAGATAAGAAGTTTGTATTTTATCTAAAGGCAATAGCTTTTGAAGGTTTTTTAGCAGGGGAGTAGCATGGTCACATGTGATTTAGGAAGATCATTTTGGCAGCTATGTGAAGGATGACTAGAAGAAGGAGAAATCTGGAATCTAATTCTGTTGGTGGGGTCCAGGTGAGGTGATGACTGCCTGAACTAGGTGATGTGGTACGCGTTTTCTCATAGAAATGATGCTATAAATATTTAGGTTCAGGCTCGCCCACAAAAGCCTGCCTGGAAACCTCATGTATTTAACCCCAGCATAGCTATGGTACTGTAAATGCTAACCAGAGAACTTTGGCAGAAGAAGACTCTTCTTTAATAAGAGGATATAGCAGTAATTACTACAGTTTAGCCACTGGGCCTCACTATTGGAATCAAGCTTCTGTAAGGAGCCTTTATGAAGAAGAAAAAAAAAATCAGAGGCTCTTCTGACCTAATTCTTTTAAAATAATATACCATCCTTTTTGGATTTTCCAGTCAAAAAATACCATTAGGATGAAATAACATAATGGGAGGAGTAAAAATTAATTATTTTCATCAAAATTTGGTTTATGAAGAGGATTGAAAAGTATTCTAGGCAAATTAATCTTTTTAAAGAAACTTCTTAGAGGAGTTTTGGAAAGAATAAAAGAGATTGATGTACTTTTCACAATCCTTACTTACACAGTCTTCTTGTTTAAACAGCAAAGTATGTATCTTAGTGTATTTTCAACTTTTTAAGCTTCCTTTGTATTTACTAAAAATCTGTGATTTTGTTTAGAAAAAAATTTTTCCTCTTAAAATTTTTGTGTACAAAAATACTCCAAAAATACTCCCAGTCTGTTATTTATTAAGAGAGTTAAGTAAAATATTTTCATTTGTTCAAAATGTATTTCTGACTTAGGTATGACTTTTAATGTTAGCATCTGCTTTCTTGTATTTTAACAATAATGACCTGATTTTTTTTTAGGAAGAAAAAAAGGAAAAGTAAGAACTTATAATTAGCAGTAGTGTTAAGGAATCAAGGACAGCTCCCCATTCTCCTTGCCTTTCCCACTCCTTATTGTATAGTCATACTCATGGTATATCCACAGACTGAGGTTTGAGGCTTGAAATCCCTGCCCTCACACTGCTCAGGGGAAAGCATCTGTGTATGAGAAGGCAATAAGACTCCTTTCTGGAGACAGTGTTATAGCTCAGCAGTGCCTCTCTCTGAAGGACTATGGGGTGTCACATGGACAGTTTTCTAATGACTCCATTTGCCGAAGAAATGGAGATTATTTGGAGGTAATGTCTAGTCTGTAGTACTACAGACTAGTAGTACTACTAGGAGTAGTACAAATCACTAATAGCTAGTAGTCTTCTTGGTATTTGCCAAAATAGAATTTTTAGAGAGTAGACATTGATTCTAGATCCTGGTCATTTCTCTTCCTACCCTACATTTAGCCATCTCTAATTTTGTCCAGCCTTTCAAAAGACAAAATTTTAGATCCTGAAGTAAGGTAGGGGGAAGAATAAGTTGTGTTTTGAGTTGATATCTTGAAAGTTTTGAGGAAAGAAATTGCAAGGACCTGGTGAGTATGGTGATCCTAGCAGATAATCTACTTGCTCCCTAGCTGCTCGGGGGTGAGGAGGGGGAAGCGCTGCGGTAAAAATACTACCTGGGGGTCTGGAAGGGAATAAGAGAATTGTCAGCCTGGTTCTGCCACAATACTTCACCCCTCAGGCAAAATTTTTCCAGCTGGTCCTTCTGTTAAGGAATCATTTTGTCCTCCCTCCTCAACAATTCTCCTGATTGTCTCTTCAACATAATCTTAAATTTGGGAGAGGGGTCTTGTGGGGGGCAGTTCTATGAGAAATTAATCAGAACCAACATCAAGCCTTGACCTTGTCACCTGGACTCTTCTTAAAAGAGATGATATAGCAGTAATTAATACAGTTTAGAAATTCAGCCTCACTTTTGGGATCAAGCTTCTTTAAGAAGTCTCTGTAGAGAAAAAAATCGTAAGCTCTAATTGGCCAATTCTTTTAAAATGATACCCTATCTTTTTTGGATTTTCCAGTCAAAAATACCATTAGCATGAAAGAACTTACAATAAAGGGACTTCTTTTGATAAATGATTATGCAGCGCCCACAGGTAAAGCTCTCTAATGCTGTGTTAAGTCTTGTTATAGAGCCTTGTTTTAACTGCTTCATATGTCAGAATTGCTACATTAAATCAAAACCTCGTTAAGATGGAAGCCTGTTGCTACAGTGGACAGACACTGTATATTATTTATTGGTTTAAAATACATTTGTAGAAAATGAAATGTTTGACATATGCTATTTTAAGCCAATAATGAATTGCGTGTTGTAAAAAATTGGGATGTTTTGCCTGTTCTAAAGCAATAACATCTGAGGATGAATTCTCTGCCTATACTTAACTTGTCTGTCATAACTGCATTTGAATGCAATATACAATGTTCTTAATAAAATTACATGTGGATTTTTTTTTTAATAAATGTGCTGATGACTCGAGGAAAAGTCTTCTAAGTTGGGGTGTGGGTTTTGTGTTTTTGTTTTTGTAGGGCTGGTGATACTTGAAATCTGTTGGTACTCAAGGTTTTCTAAAGAATATTCTTGAGTGACTTTGAAGGAGACCCATATAATTTTAGACACAGTAAAGTGCATGAGGTGCTTTACCCTATCTCAACTATTTGGGGGTTATGTGTAGGAGTGATGTTCATTGGAAGTTATTTAGGTAGCTTCCAGTCCAGTAGGCGATAGTGAAAGGCAATGTCTACCCATCCCAGCCTTGCCTTCTCCTCTTTCCCCATGTTGTTTACTTATACTAATGGTGAATCCACAGATGATGAGGTTTTAGTTGAGATATCTATCTTTTGCTTAGAGGAAGTTCTTTGTGGAAGGGATCATGTCTTATACTTCCTTTTTCTCCCATAGCACCTAACATAGTGTTAGGAACATAGTAGGTGAACAACAAAGAGGTCTTGACTGTTGAGCTTGGAGCCTGATTTCTCCTATGCTGGACTAGAGACATCTGTCACCCATTGGACTCAGAGCTGCTCTGTGGGATATTAGAGATCAGTGTGATGATCCCTTAAATGCAGAATTTTTGGATTTATGTCCATCTGATGGAAATTATACAAAGTTGGTTTATACCAATCATTTAATCCAAATCCAGCAGTCCCAAATCACACCTCATCTTTTCCCTGCAAAATAATTCACAGTATTTTATGATCATCAGCAAGAAGTACCCTTACTCTCAATATCTCTTTCTCTTTATATGTATGTGTGTGTATATATTTGTGTACACATACCCCAAATCACCAACACAACCTTTTGGACAACATAAAATTATATTAAACAAGTTAAACATTGCACAGGCATTCAGATGTTACAGTATAGTACATACTATGCCAAAAGGACATCTTTTTTACCATCTGGTTAGCAGACAAGAATTTCTCATTCAGAAGACTTTTTTGTATCCACATAGCAGAATAGTGACTTAAAAATGCCCTCAGTTTCTAAAGGAGCCCAATATCTGCTATAGTGGTTCAAATATCTTTTTGTTTAACTTGTATATTTTTTCTAGACATACAACGATGTACCTCAAAAAATCTCTTTATGTAAGGGAGATATGTACTGACGCAGAGGGAATACAAATTTGATATTTCTTAAGTAAGACTTTCCATACCTGCCCTTGGGCCATACCTCCTTACCCCAAGGCACCCAGAGGAGATCTTATCTTATACCTAACCCATCTTTGCCTCTCTTCATTCTTGCAACCCTTCTTTTTCCTAGGATAGGAATGTGGTTAGATTTTACTTTGTAGCAGGTATGATAACACTACCCTTGGTAGTAGGGAAGGGGCTGGCTCAGGGACACAGAATTATTAACTGTCCTACAACCTGGGTTTGTTGTTGTCTCCTTCCCCATCCCATTCTCGATCCCCCACATTTGTAATAGTCTCCCTGTATTCATTAACAGTTACACTTGAAAAAATTTTAGCCACAATATATAGCTAAATCCCAAAGTGGCATTGTCCCCAAATCCCATCCCTAAATTTTATATTTTTCTATATTTTGGAATTTCTCTTGTAAATTGACTGTTGACTGAGGTGTAATGGTGGGGTGGGGGGTAGGAGTGT